GTTTTATTACATTTCTTCTCGTGTGACACCGTGACTTATTAGGGGTTGCAAAATGAGGTCAATGTATCCCATCTCAAGTGTCTCTATACGCCCCATTGTACTGCGGCCGCCTTCAGGTAAACGCACTGAGATTCAGACAAGTCATCAAGCTTGATTCCCGGAACAGCGGCAATACGTTGAGATATCCGAATCGAAATGCATGGGCATAGGTAGTATTCTAGACACTGATGGATTGGTCAAGATATGCTAGCGGTCCGAACGAATGACCAAGGGGAAATAAATAGTAACACATGACGGACTGCTTGGTGGTCCTACCTCCCTGTTGATTCTCGCTCACCTCGGACAACAGACGATTAGAACCGGTTGTGGTTTTACCTTACGACACGGATAGCCTGCAGTGGACATAATCGCACCATTTCCCTGCTAATTTGGAAACTTGCTGACGCCATCTCCGTCATTCTTTTTTGGATGGCATCCTTATTCTATATACCGCATGTAAGTCGGGATTGGGTGCAGTTTCATTCTAGAATGATTAACTACTGATTTGGTGCAATGTGGTATCTTTATTGCACCTGCCTAGAACGGATGAGCCACAGATAACCTAAATTTTTTAGGCTTATTTAACTCGATTGTATTTCGCGATGACTTCACGTGTTGCCCATTACGATATTGTACTCATCATGATCTATGCTATGCTATTATGGCTACCTCCTCAAGCGGAGTCTAGTATGGTTACATACCAAGAGTGAGTTATGGCATCTTCATTTTCGTATTATCATTCGGCCGCGATTCACATCACTATGTCAGCTCCATGGTATTGCTCACCATAACCGTAGCTTGACTAGCTGCTCAATGCTAACTTGCATGATGCTTAGAGAGCCGGTGCATCGCAGAATAATGGTTCAGTCCATCCATGAGCTCATTCGTAATTGATGTAGGTGCGGTTTTTCCGAGTGATTTGTTTGCTTGCTACAGATCAATGCTAGGGTGGCAAATTATTGGGTATGTACCCAGTTCGATGGATACGTTTGAATCAAAAGGTTATTATCGCTTGGCCGTTTACAGTACTCATGAAATGTCACATTTGACATTTGTAACACAATGCTCAACGATTGTCCCTCGTGTGACCACTTTGGATTATGCATTCGAAGAGAAATTTCCCTGGAAAATCGGTGTCAGGTGAACAATCACGACAACTAACCGACTAGCGATTATCACGACGTCGCCATTCCATGTTCCACTCCGCAGGTTAGTGAAGAGAGTGAGTATAGTTATAGTTCCAGTTATCCCTCAGCCATACTGAATTTACCGGGGCCTATGAAAACACACGTACTAACCGGATGGAAGGCAAACGTGCAGAGACCGCCTACCAGAAGTTGCATTGCACATGGCCAATCTTTTGGATGGATTAAGTAAAAGGTTGCATCTAACAGGAATGGTACGCCAGTGTGTTATGATATAACATCGGAAATGAATCGGCGCATAGCGACAATGGTTTTATGAGTACCGAATGGGCTGCACCCGGAACGTACGATGTAGACCGTTAGTAAATAGCTTCTAGCAACAGTAGAGTACAGGTCGGTAGGTATAAACGGTTGAGTACTCGGACATTTGCACAATAAATGCGAACACTGTTTGGAAAGTCGCATGTTTGACAGTGGGCAGCGCAACTTAGTTGATGTCACTTGTTACTACCAAAGGTTGCGCATCAATCGTTCCTTGAGTAGGTGCACATGCCTCGGGCAGCACATGACCGAACCGTTCGGAGACACAGAGAGCCAGAAGTGGACACTGTATCGCATTCGCATGCTGTGTGATCTCCCACATCAGCTACTCAAACCAGACTGTACATGTAGAGGGCAACACCTAAGTGCACACTATTTCACTGTACCAGTAGTCTAGTCATCATTCTACTTAGCAGTTGCTTTACTATTGCCACATCGGATTCCTTCAAATATGGATGCCCAAGATTTCAGGCTGTCACGTCTAAATGTTGAAGAAAACATCAACAGTTCGTATTGGGTAGTTATTCTCATGCCTGCGAAAGTGGTTGTTAGCCTGACCTCCAAACGAAACCCATACACGTTTGTCATACCCTTGATGATGATGTCTAATGTGTCTCTATCCAGTTTGTGACAGCTCAAACTTAAGTTTGGATAAACGCATGTACATATGTTGTATTCGAACAGCCATTGGGCACAGATAACGCCAATCTATGTAACTATATGTATACCGAATGAATTCCACGAGAATCTTCATACCGTTTTTGTACGGTTAACGTAGTGCAGTAAAACGACATTCGAGCAAACCGAAAATAATATTACCAGAACATGAAGAAGGTGAGTTTATGACAAACTCATGTTGATTTCAGGTGTTGCGGATCCAAGGCAAATTTGATCGATGCGAATTACGTGGACTGCTCAAAAGGGCGGTTTCTCAGGTGCCGGAGAAGGCACTATTGTATGCGGAATAGAAGCACTATGAGTATGTTCCCATTCAATTTACTAATCCAGGCCAATAAGGCGGCGTATGTGGTACGTTTGCCTGCGTGATGAGTAATCTTGCATTTCAGAAGTAGATGTTGCTTGAGCTCCCCTGTGTGGATGCGCCTGATGTGAATGTTGACAAGGTGCCAACCTGTCTATTACCCACTACCTCGTCCATACTGGCTCCAGGAGACAGTTGGTCATCGCTGGAGGGGACGGAGTGCACCGTCTTCGTGACGGTGTTAGGCACAAAGAGTGGTTCCATGCAACCTGTGTGGAACGGGCTACGGTCCAGCCACCGCCTCGTGTATGTCTGGTGTGTATGATTTCCCAATTAGACTGGAATGCTTCTGTTCTGCTTGTTGAAGGAGTGTGGGCCGGCTCCGTTGATGAAACGTGGCTCCCATCCGCATGCCTCCCGGTCTTATTCTTTCGGGTTTACACCAGATATGGGGTGTGTGGGTGGAACTATAGGTGGTGCAGCGCAAGCCACCCATGGTCCCCTTTGTAGGCGCAGGCGTCCTGTGACTGTCCCCATGGAAGTCACAGTGACAGGCAAACCCGGATACGGACGCCGCCAAATCATATATATATATATAAATATATATAAATATATATATATATATTTCCGGGTTGTGTGTTTGGTGCGGGAAAAGCGTGTGAACCGCTTAGAACCAATAATTCACGCAAGACGATTCGATGACTGGTCACTTGTTGCACATACCGGCACACCGAGTCCCGCGACGTGCGCTTTTGCGCGCTGCGTGTGCGGAGGGTAGGTGTACCGAAAACTTGGTTGAGCGAAATTTAGACCCTTAGTTTAAATATGGCGTCGGTGGGTGCATCCCGACTGCCTGGCTGGGATCCTAGTTACGATGAACACATTTGTTTGGACACATTTTCTGATGTCGCGAAGTGCAGGCCCCATTCGCTTTTGTGTTGTGAGTTTCTTTGGCCAACCTTTCCACCTTGGATTACCCTCCAATTACGAGCTCATACGAACTGTATAACGATGTGCATGATATTACTTGCTTGCGGAATTCGCTGTAGTACAATTTGCAGTATCTCTTTTTGTATTGCGACACGTTAGCTGAGGTGTGTTTCTCACCCTCAGCTAATGTGTACTGAGGATGATGATGATGATGATGTCTGCCTGGTCCCATCTTGAAAATCGACCTGAGAAATTTCACCTGGGCTAGGTGACTTGTAGCGCTCTAGCACGTGAAGCTCATAGGAAACCCCAGTCCTATTTGGTGGCGAAACATCCACACACCAGAGAACATTGTACATTCTTGAATAAGGGCTCAGCTGTGCTGGTGACCATATAAAATGATAACCGATATATTCCGCTCATCATGCCAGATGGCGGTGACCACTATGGATTAGTGCTCTATCATTTTCACGCAAAACCCTACTTACTGTTGGCCTCCTTCCTCCCGTAGGTGGAATCATTTGGATTAAATGGCGGGACATTTCTGCGGAGGTTGCCTGCACCATCTCAACGACGAGTTGTGTCCGCCAGACCTCGAGATACTTCCTAAGAAGCTGTCCGAGCTTAGCGTTGGCGGTTCTGCGTAGTGCATTGCACTCAACTCCAGCGAGAATTACTCGACGGGTTGCCATTATTGAAGGGAATGTGCGGAGATTCACTAACTATCAGCCCGGCTAGTATAGCCAGAGACCAAGCTAGCAGATTTCCGTAAGGCGCTCTGAATCCGTGCATTTAATTGTTAACAGAAGTTATTGTCGAACAAAAGATGTATAATATAAATCAAAACATTCCATGGGCCCCTGGTGTTCGCAAACTCTTGTGGTAGAGCGATCACTGTCGGGTAATTTCTATGGGCGACTCAAGTAGATTTTAGGTAAGAATCAATGTGACCGTTGGTTCTGAACAACATCGAAAACCCTGCACTGCTGATGCGGACCTAGTGTTCGTGCTCTCCTCTGTGGCTGCGTGTCGCAATCCAAACGCACGGCGAGTTCTACAAAACCCAATAAGTAAGATGCCTAGTTGGTTGGAGAAGTTGAGTTATGGACCGGTCAATACATTTGAAATTGAATACTTGCTTCATTTGCATGAAAAGTGAGGAAACTCCAAGTTAAAAAGGCACATAATGGCTCGTACCCAATAGACTTTTAGTAGACTAGTGCGATGGTTCAGCCTTCAGGGGTCGTTTGTATTTATCAGTTGGATATCCAGAAGAATTCGTCATTATAGCGCACCATCTGTACTGCCCGAGGGTCATGGCTACCGTCCACCCTAGTTGAACGGTTATGTCTATTACCGTTTTACTGGAATTCGGTTCAGTATATTCACTTTAGTTTACAAATTGTGTGAACTCGCCAACTCAATTCTAAACACTTGGCAGTCTACCTAATCGTGTCTCTAAAATGAAGTATTTTCGTCTTTACTACACCCGATACCACCATAGAATATTAATCTGAAAGCCTTTTGGTGATGTTATCTAAATTGTTCCTAGATATAAAGTTAAGCGGTTAATCATGACTTACCATTTCAGTAATAGCTGTTGTATCATACCGTTGGTCTGCCGAGTCTCCTAAGTAAAATCTTCCCCCGTCCAAGAAAAAGCTCAGTTCCATGTAGTGTGATGCGTTCCAAAATTGCTCCATGTTGAGGCACTCAAACTGATCCAAGCTGAACGAATGGCAGAAATGAAAGCGTTCACAGATATGGATAGCTATATCGTTTATGATCATTTTCATATAATAGTTTCTCGAACCATGCGAGAATCGTTCGGTCGCATTTTCCCCAGCAATCCGCTGACAATCACACGTGTGTTGCTCTGCTTCACACTTTCGTTCCCAAGCTTCTTCGTCCATGGACAGTCTAATTAGAACACCAAGTATAAGTTGTCTGACCGGTTCTTGAAAAAATTTGATTTGGTGAGCGAAGTAGAAATCTTGGTCTTCTGTTTCATCGCTGATTCTCATATGGCACCAAAGAGTGTACTCACGAGGCATTATAGCAAATATAGTTAGTACGCCATCCAAATCCCAAGTAGCAGTCATGAAGGACAAGTGTGTCAGTATTTGACGCCCGTTCAGTCGCCACTCGTATGCCACTGGATCCATGGCAGTTGGGTATGGTTCGCTATCTTGCAAAAAGCAAGGAAGTTGGACAAGCTGACCAATAGCTAGTCGGTGCTGATAATAAATGATTGATGAATTGGCTCGTGTGGATTTTGTAAAAAGTTTATGTCTTGCAGAGACAAACGACACTTCGGAGCACGTCGAGATGGTGATCAACCCCACAATTAAAAATATCAACATTAACGGAAGGCGATCTTCATCCATACTGGTTGAAGCTCACATGTGTTCTAGCGTAGCCGTTAGAAATATCATACGCCAAAGCAGCTTTGCTGGCTTAATTTCGTTGTGCTGAGTTTCATCGAACGTGATTTTAAACCTCAAGGACGCCTCATTGCATGTGTCGGCTCTGTGGTGGCGACTCATTATGCTGGCAGGTGAGCTCACTGAAAACGCAACGAGCTTTCTGCTGATTCACTTTGCTCGTCTGTTACTCAAATTTCTGACGCTACAGACGATTATCTAAATGATATATGGGTTAGAAAAACCGGGAAGAGTAGCAGCGGCAAGCTGACCTTATATCAGTTATATGACGACATAGTGCAGCAGAAATACCATGGGTCTACATATCCCGAGAAAAGTCGTGTTAGTTTGCTGGTTAATTTGTTAGTATGTGCTTTAGATGTGTAGATTCTAGGCATCCAGCTGGGTTACTTCGATGGAAAATAAATCATCCACAAAGCCCTCGTATCATGTCAGTAGCCAGGGCCGACACGTTCTCACCAAACGTCCACGGGCCGCAATACTGTTATAAACGTCCTAGTGTTTTCGACTTCTAGTCATATCGAACGAAATACTATTCAGCAGTAATGTCACACGCGCAGAATAATCAAAGAAAATAGGATCGACAGGGCCTAAAACGCGTGTAAGGGCGAGCCGCTATTGGAAACGAAACGTGTAACCTCGCACGACTGCACACGACGCAAAAGAGAAAAATTGGAAAATCGCGAAATTTCGTTTACTGAATCAGACAAGTGCAAACGCATTCCACACATTCGTATTTATGACTCAATAGTATGACAGCACAATACAATGGTGGAGCAAAGATTTCTTGACGCAACCAAGATGTAAGTCAACTGAAGCAAAGGTAAGCTTATAGTATAAGAGTGTTATCTTTTAGAGGTATTAGTACTAAATCACAAGCCTCCATATTTATATGTTTGCAGGTGGTGTATCATTGCATTAGCATGCGGTGCTCAACTCCTAAAAATAAGTAAAGTTGGAAACTGGGGTTTGATCAGGTACCTGCAGCAAAACGGTATGACGCCCAAGGAAGTTCACTCTGATAAATTTGGGACACCTGATGAGGACTTCCCTTCACAGTATAGTGTTATAAGTTTGGTGCGAACATCAACCTGGGAAGGGAGAAAATGGAAGTTGACCCAAAGTCTACCCGCTCAAAATCTTCAACGTGCTGATAATACGAAGGAAAGTCACCAATTATTTTTGAATGAAGTTATTTTTTCTCAGATGAGCATAAGCTCTGGTTCACTGTGGGCTGTTTTAAGGAACATCTAGGGGATGAGAGAGCTGAGTACACGGTGGGTGCCAGTAATGTTTACACCCAATCAGAAAATGCACAAACTGGAAAATTAGACGCACATTTTGACTAGCTTCAGCACAAATCCCGCAATTGTTTGCACAATGTATGTTATAAAGGATGAAAATTGAATTCATCACTTTGAACCAGTCAATGATTCCTGGCAAACAAAGGAAGTACTGTGGTTCTCCTCCCCAAATTTATTATTAATTACTTAATTATTTCATGGTGCATCCGCGGGGGTGTAATGGTCAGACCACTACAGGCGAGTATTACGCCACAAAATTAATCTAAACGAAACACGCAATAAAGTAAAACGGAAGTAAAACCCGCAACCTTAGTTCTGCTTTTCCCAGGTAGCTCACCTGTTCACCTTTCCGAAGTAGCTGTCAGAAGCAGCGAGCTGTGGAGTTCAGTTGTTACCAATTGTCCGATTGTTCACCAGACCTGGCCTCATCAGCCCTTTTCCTGTTCCCCAAACGGAAATCTCAACTCCGAGCCCACAGATTTGCCGATACTGATTGAGTCGATTAGTGTTGTGCAGCTATTTTTACAGGAATAGTATTCGACACTTTTCTACATAGGGATAGCAATATTTGAACACCGCAGGACTAAGTACATTAAGTAATGGGAGATTATGTTTAAAAATGAAAGACAACTTGGATAACTGGCTTCTTTCTACGCCGAGACGAGAAATTTTGATCCAGCGTCGTACATAAGCTATAGAGCGATATAACATGATCAGTACAAAAGATATGCTCCGAGGAGGTAATGGTATTGAACAGCGCGAACGTGACAGACTCCATCTCAGAAATGTTGGTTCGTAAAGAGAACAGGAAATTGAATAATATTAACTCTGATGGAACTGCTATAACCGAAGGTGAAGTCATATGTTCGAACTTCAATGGCTACTTCATGTCTACACATACTACCAATGCGGAAGAGGAACCACAACTCGGAACGGTTGAATTCTGACGGTGATATAGGCCGTCAAATCAGATTAGTTCGTTCAGCATGCTCTTCAGGCCCTGACAACATCCCGTCAATTATAAACAAACAAGGAGGCCGAGACATCCCCCCGTTGTATCAATACTAACTGGTCAAATCCGCGATCTAGTTTTGTAACCACCTAGTTGGAGTAGTTCGGGTCATATCAGTATTTCCGCTTTCCATGTTCAAAGGAGAGTATCCTATGCACTGGAAACAATCAGAATTCCACAACACAAAGTGTTTCTATTCAAGATGTAACGAATAACCCCAACTTCACCCCACATCCGTTATCTCCAGAACCATGGAGTGGATAGTTAAAGAACGCATAAGAGAATATTTGAGTTATATGAGCCTTATCAGTAAACATCGGCACGTTTTTTAAAGGGTAGGTCACGCACCACCTGCCAGTTAGATTATCTTGATTGGGTAACTACAGCAAGAGACGTCGGAAGGGTTATTCTTGTAATATTTCTTGATATCCTAAAAGCTCTTGACCGTGTCCCACACAAAGTATTGCTGCAGAAGAGTACGTCCTATAGTATCATAAATTCGCTTCTGAAGTGGTTGTCTTCCTATCTCGGGGGTTGAAAGCAAGCAGTCAGAATTGGTAACTGTACATCTGAAACCACTTCATTATCTAGTGGTGTGATTCAAGGAAGCGTGTTGTGTCCGGTTTTATTCTAAATCCACTTTAATGATCTCCTTAATTAAATTATGTTCGGGAAGCCATTACTCATTGCTGATGACGTTAAAATTGTGTATTGTTCTTCCCCAGGTCAAGGTGATCCCAATTTAACCTTATTAAGTCTGACTTATCAGCATTAGAGCACTGGAGTAAGTCCTAGAAGTTGTACTTTGCCACTGGCAAGTGGTGGCTGTGACAATCCACAGAACATTGTAACCTTATAAGCACTCATATTCCTGTGTGTCGCACAGTCCGAGACCTTAGTCTAAGATACTCTGCCTGGTTTCATTTTTTCGAGCAAGTTATACTCATGCGGGCTTCTGCCAGGAATACCATTGTCTACATAAACCGAACTCTTATATTGAGAGAGTCCAGACTTCTAGCCTATAAAATGTGTGTTATGTCGAAGGTAGAATACTGTACAATAGTGCATGGGAATCTGTGAAGAATGGACATCATAGCACTAGAAAACATCCAGCGATCCTTCACAAAGCGATACTAGAACACGCCTAACATTATGACTTAACGTGAGCGTTGTGAGGCTCTAAAACTGCAGCCGCTATGGCTACCCAGACTCAAAATAAACCTGTGCCTTCTCTACCGCTTACTATTCGGCTTAAGCTTCACAGCGCAGCCATAATTCGAGTTTCAGGCTATCAAGTGCCATGACACAAGAAATAGCGAGCGCATACTACATATTCAAAAGTCTCGTACCAAGCTCCGCTCGAATATTTTCTCAATAAAATATTCGTTGATGTGGAATAAACTTTTATCGGATATCAGAAATGCTCTTCCTATCTGCAATTCAACCGGAAAATCAGTGTTCACCTGACCGTTTCCAAACCTTATCAACACTTAGTCAAAAGATGACTTTAGATAATTTGTAGCAGATAGGTCCTGGATACACTTAATAGTCGCAATCTCCCCTAATTGTCACAATAGTATAGTTTTATCTTCACCTGAATGAACTTCTTATGTTAAATTTGAATGTTTGTGATTAGGGTAAAGATTGTAGAAAGTATAAGTCATGATTAAAATTCACGCACAATAATGTGCCTCGACGGGGAATCGAACCCCGGTCCACGAATTTCCGGTCCGCTGCTCTACCACTGAGCTACCTAGGGCTGACGATTAGGTGCACAAATTTTAACACATGACTTCTGTTTGGTGCGCGACGTATTGCCAATGGGCTCACAGTACCTGTCCTGGATTTGCAGATTGGCTCACTCACCCGTCACTTCCCCATGGGCTGAAGTATCTGTCCATCGAATGTCCAATGGACGAAAGTATATTAAATTTGGATGTTTGTGAGTAGGGTAAAGATTGTAGAAAGTAGAAGTCACGATTAAAATTCACGTCGCGCACCAAACAGAAGTCATGTGTTAAAATTTGCGCACCTAATCGTCAGCCCTCGGTTGCTCAGTGGTAGAGCAGCGGACCGGAAACTTCTTATGTATTTACAATCCATCTTATTCCTACCAAGCCTGCACTCACTTCTAACCAGTACCGCCTTCTTCCCTTTTGCTGCATTGTTTCAGAGATGAAATACGTCTTCCAAGCTGAAATCTCTGCATGATCGTCGTTGTTCGCAATCATTTTCCACCAAACTGTGCTTGATCTACTACCAAACGACTGTAAAAGATAGTATGCTTTTGATTCCTCATACCTTATATTTTCCCTTATTTCACTGTTAGCCACGAGTGGGCTGATCTCTTGAGGTGCTGAATTATGGCTTCCAAGATAAAAAGTTATACCCATGCAAAACATACTACTGACTCGCTGGCAAATAAAAAATTGCCATACTTGTATGATCCGCATAATGGATCGGGCTGAGGCTTCATCGCCCATAATGCACGCATAAAATAGCCGTAATAAAAAATACCATTTGTGAAACAGGCGTTGACTTACATGCTATTTTGCCACACCAGCACACAGACCGTCGATACATGTGAATGCGGGTGAAACCCATCGAGGGATTAACCCGCATGGAAT